GGAAGGAAGGAAGGAAGAAAGAAAGAAAGAAAGAAAGAAAGAAAGAAAGAAAGAAAGAAAGAAAGAAAGAAAGAAAGAAAGAAAGAAAAAGAAAAGGAACCTTAACTTGCAAGGATAGACAGTAACTTATTCTTTGACTATTTAACTACAAACAGAAACCTTAACCTGCACAGGAACTTATTCTTTGGGTTTTTGTTTGTTTGTTTGTTTTTGGTTTTGAGAGACAGGGTTTCTCTGGGTAACAACCTTGGCTGTCCTGGATCTTGCCCTGTAGACCAGTCTGGCCTTGAACTCACAGAGATCCACCTGCCTCTGCCCCCTAAGTGCTGGGATTAAAGGTGGGCACTACCACTGCCCAACAGACCTTATTCTTAACTGTCTTAACTGCAAACAGAAACCTGTTTTGGTCTCACAGGAGGTGGAGAGTTAATTCATCAGTTAAAAGCCCTGTGTGCTGCTCTTCCAGAGGACCAGAGTTTGCTTCCCAGCACTCATACTGGGTGCCTCACAACCACCTGTAACTCTAGATCCATGGAATCCAATGCCCTCTGGCCTCCATAGGTACTTACACTCATGTGCACACACAAATCAAAATAATAGAAATTAATCTTAAAATAATAATAATAACAGGGCCAGTGAGATGGCTCACTTGGTAAAGGTGCCTGCTGCCAAGCCTGTGTTTGATCCTCAGGACTCACACAACTGAAGGAGAGAACTGACTCTAAGATCTGTCTTCTGACTTCCATGTGTACACACACACAAACAAAAACCCCAAAGATGCTGGGCAGGAAACATCATTTTGTACAAAGGTAGCATTGTACTGGGAAAAGTACCAAATAAATACAAAACAGCACCAGGTAATTGCCCAGGGACACAGAGAAAAATGAAGCAGGCTAAAATGGGAGAATGGAGAGGGTGGAAATTAACAGGGATTTTTACGGGAGGTGTTTGGCACGACCTAACTTGCTGGTACCATGACAACAGAAGTGCCTGGATATCTGGGGGTTTGGGTGGAGGGTGATCCAGGCTAAGCAAGGGTTTGTGTGCTGGGTGTGGGTGGCGTCAGGCACCTGGACAGTGAGGAAGGCTGAGGAAGAACAGACTCTTTGCATATGGGCGCTACAAGCTTCCCAAACACCACCAGCCACTGAGCACCACGTGTTCAAACATGAGCCTCTGGGGCACACGCCACGTTCAAACCCTAACAGTGACTGATGCAAACAGTGATAAAAGCCGTCATCCAGGGGGAACTGGAGAGACAGCTCAGCTCTTAAAAGTCCCGACTGCTCTTCCAGAAGACCCAAGTTCAATTCCTAGCACCGACATGGAGCTCACAACTGTTTGTAACTTCAGTCCCAGGGGTCCCATTGCTGGCTTCTGGGGACCCACGGTGCCCAGAACATGCCAGTGGGCAAAACACCCACACACATACACTAAATGTATTTTTTGTTTTTCAAAGAGTAGACATTCAGAGAGCTGATACCTCAACAATAACTTTAGCTCAGTTCCTAAAATCTGATTGGCACCTGGTTAAGAAAATTCATAAATCACACTACTTTGTTTTATGAAATATATGTGTAATTTGGAACTTTAAAAATTACATTTATGGGGCTAGAGAGATGGCGCAGTGGTTAAGAGCATTGGTTGCTCTTCCAGAGGGCCTGGGTTCAATTTCTAGCACCCACCTGGCGGCTCATAACTGTCTGTGACTCCAGTTCCAGAGGATCCGGCATCCTCACATTGACACACATGCAGGCAAACCAACAATGTACATAAAATAAAGATAAGTCAATTTAAGAAGTCATTCTTATTTATTTAAGTGTGTGGGTGGCACATGAGCGGAGGTCAGAGGACAGCTTTCAGGAGACAGTTCTCTTCTTCTACCATGTGGGTTCTGGGGATGAAACACGAGTCATTGGGCTTGGTGGCAAACACCTTTGTCTGCTGGGCCAGCTAACTGGCTCAGTTTCTGTGGTTTTTAAAAACACTCATACACATAAAATAAACCTAGAATTCAGAGAAGAAAAAAAGGCTGGGTGGTGATGGCACACGCCTTTAATCCCAGCACTTGGGAGGTAGAGGCAGGTGGATCTCTGTGAGTTAAGAGGCCAGAGAGGTCTACAAAGTGAGTTCTAGGACAGCCAGGACTATATCGAGAAACCCTGTCTCAACAAACCAAAACAAAACCCCCAAAAGCAAACAAACGAAAAACAGACTCTAAAACATTAAAAGAAAATAGGGCTCTTGGGGACACTGTTCTAGGGGAGCTGACGAAAGCAGTAACAAGGCTGTCTGTGACTTCTGAACACTTTCCCCAGTTAGCAACTACAAAGGCACCTCCCAGTGTTGGTCAAACCTTGACCTTAAAACCAGGGCCTCTGGTGGGAAGACGGAAGTGGGGGATCTTTGCCTGGTGTGTAAAATGAATGAAACAATTTCCTTAATTAAAAACAAAACAAAACAAAATAAGGCCTCCAGCAGGGAGGTGGTGGCACACACCTTTGATCCCAGGGCTCAGGAGACTGAGGCAGGCGGATATCTGTGAGTTCAAGGCCAGCATGGTCTACAGAGTGAGATCCAGGACATCCAGGGCTACACAGAGAAACCTTGTCTTGAAAAACCAAAAACAACAATACTACCATGGTGTCCGTGACTCCTTGGACAGTTTTCTAGACATGGTGAAGTGCTGTGGGATGGTCTGTATGTCAAATGTGTTGCTCTGATCCATAATATTGGTCAATAAATAAAACACTGATTGGCCAGTAGCCAGGCAGGAAGTGTAGGCGGGACTAGCAGAGAGGAGAATTGAGATAACAGGAAGGCGGAGGGAGACACTGCCAGCCACTGCCATGACAAGCAGCTTGTGAAAATGCCGGTAAGCCACGAGCCACGTGGCAAGGTATAGATTTATAGAAACGGGTTAATTTAAGATATAAGAACAGTTAGCAAGAAGCCTGAGCCATTAGGCCAAACAGTTTAAATAATATAAGCGTCTGTGTGTTTATTTTATAAGGGGGCTACGGGACTGCTGGGGCTTGTCGGGACCTGGAGAGAAAACTCTCCAGCTACAGTGAAGCCAGCCCGGATCTATGGTCAGAGCTAAAATAAAAGTATTTGACTGATGGGTGGTGGTGGTGGCGGCGGCGGCGGCGGCGGCGGCGCACGCCTTTAATCCCAGCACTCGGGAGGAGAGGCAGTTCTCTGCGAGTTTGAGGCCAGCCTGGTCTCCAAAGCGAATTCCAGGAAAGGCGCAAAGCTACAGAGAAACCCTGTCTCGAAAAAAAAAAAATGGATTTTTTTGGATTGTATCTTGCTATGTATTCATACCCAGGCTTGCTTGTTGAACTTGTGGTCCTCGTGAGTAGTGGACAGTACAGCCACACACCATTATGCCCAGCTAGACACCGTTCACATGAAACCCAGGGCAAAGGAGCCCTTCCCAGTCTACTTCTTCATATGTAAAATGGCAGCATGATCTCCACCTCACACAATTACTGTGAGAATAAAAGAAGGTATATATTGTTTTCAAAATTAGTAGCTAACATTTACTGTTTATTACAGGCCAAATGCCATAGAAAGGACTTTAAATATGCTATCTAACAATAAAGTGCTTATTCTGTGTACAGGGAGATAGGGGTGAGAAGATAAGCCATAGAGAGTCAACAGGGACTTTTATGACCTTACTTGTATCACATCATAGGCTACTGTCTGTCTGCTTTTATGAACACTGGAGACACAATTCACATGCCATAAAACCTGCTCTTTAAAAAGTGAAAAAATGGGGGGCTGGAGAGATGGCTCAGCAGTTAAGAGCACTGGCTGCTCTTCCAGAGGACCCCCGGTTCAATTTCCAGCACCCACAGGGCAGCTCACAACTGTCTGTAACTCTAAGATCTAGACATCCTCACACATACACGCAGGGAAAACACCAATGTACATAAAACAAAAGAAAATAAATTATTTTCAAAAATGATAAAAGGTGGGCTGATGATTTAGCTTAGTTGGTAGAACATTTGCTGAGCATGCATGAAGCCCTGGGTTCAACTCTCAGCACCATATAAACCAAGTGTGGTGGTGAGTGCTTGCAATCCCAGAATACAGGAGGCAGAGGCAGGAAGATTAGAAGTTCAAGGCTGGTCTGGGCTATGTTAGGCCTTGTCTCAGAATAATAATGATATATATCAATCATGTGAACGGTGTCCAGCTGGGCACAGCAGTGCATGCCTGTAAGGCCAGCCTATTAATGGGGCTGTGGTAGGAAGATCCCAAGTTCAGCAAACCAGCCTGGATATCAACACAAAGAGAGCAAGACACAACTCAAAAAAATTCATGTCTGTGTCTTACATACTTAGTCCTAGCCAGTGAAATAGATTTCAGTTTATTTACTAAATGTTGGGTTATATATAAGTACTTTTAAGTGTAGCTTTTGAAGAATTGCTAAACTGTTTAATTGTCATCCAAAGTGACTTTAACATTTTATATAATTATCTGGTTTTAGATATCTATGGATTTTTGTTTTGTTTTGTTTTGTATTTCAAGACAAGGTTTCACCATGAAGCCCTGGTTGTCCTGGAACCCACTCTGCAGACCAGGCTGGCCTCGAACTCACAGAGCTCTGCCTGATTCTGCCTACCAAGTGCTGGGATTAATGGTGTGCATCACCACTGGCCAGTAAATTTTTTTTTAATTGACATCTTCTGGATTTTTGTTTGTTTGTTTTATTTATTTTTTATTTTTATTTTTTGAGACAGGGTTTCTGTGTAGCTTTGTGCCTTTCCTGGAACTCACTCTGTAGCCCAGGCTGGCCTCGAACTCACAGAGATCCTCCTGCCTCTGCCTCCCGAGTGCTGAGATTAAAGGAGTGCACCACTACTACTACTACTACTACTACTACTACTACCACCACCACCA